CCTTGAACCCTGCTACCGAAGGGGAATACAGAGATCACCTGAAACGAAAAAAACTGACATTCTTGAAAATTCCTGGCGAGGCCATGTTCGATCCTCTGCCCGCTCCCTGTGACCAAATACGACCCCAAGAGATTAAAGTACTCTTCTTGCTTCCACTTGTCAGAGTCCTTGGTGTTTTCTCGAAAATTTTGTTTGCTTAAATATCACGCGAAATCTCCGTTGCGATTATAAATAGTTGATATCGTCGCGGTCTGTCAGAAGGGGTGGAATGAGCCCACCTTGGAAAGCGTTCTTTACCAGTAATGAATGGTTCAAGATGAGAACAAGCAACGGTAGAATGGCGGCGCTTGGGTTCGTTTAGCGCCCCCTGACATTGCTCCGACTCACTATTGCCTACGCTTGATCTTTCTATATCACTTTGGACATCTCATTTTAGAACCGTCATCAAAGAAATCGGCAAAGTTCGGCTTGACGGGGGCACCAAGTGGTATCCAGCGAATGTACAGCTTAACTTGTTGAGTCCTGTTAATTCGTGAAACCGAAGTTTTTGATTCCATTTCGCAGCTTCACTCGTCTCACCAAAATGAAACCTGTCATCTAACAGGGACCAAGAAAAAAGGAACTAACGAAAGTGCAAACTGCCCCTCTCAAGCCGAACAGAACCAAAGCGTTCCGTACCTACAAAGGCTGGTCCAGATTCCAGTAATTCAGTTCTGTGAGCATTTCAGAATCAATCAAGCAGTACGAGTTGGAAAAGTGGTCAGGGATGATGGGCATCTGATGGATTCGCATGCATCCGCTGCACTTCCATCTATTCATTGTGTTGTCCTGCTGAATCTGTCTATGAGCACGACGAGCTGTTGTCAACCGATCGCTGACAGTTAACATCCACCACCATCGGAATCGATCCATCGTCTCGATCCTCAATACTTTTCATCTTCATCTGAAAAACCTTGATGAACACGCTGGACTCACGCAGCACGCTGTCACTTCCCAACAGAAAACCGACTCTCTTTAACATCGTGAGTTCCTTTTCTTCTGTGGTTGAGATTTTTATTTTATTGACAGCACCTTTTCTCTTTCCCGTTCAAAAATCCGAAAATGAGACTATCCTGTTGATTCCTGTCAACCTGCCATTACCTGTAAACTCTTGTAAAGTCTCTCACATGGCGACCAAAAGGTTGTGGCGGAACCATATTGTCTGGAAATAATCAAAAAAAGCTACGAAAAGTGGGACCGAAAACCCTTCGGTGCACAAAGGGAACTGCCTGTCCATTCCGGGCCCACTTCCCTTGGACGCCGGCGGAACTTCTCAATCCCCAGCTCGCAATCGTTTCTTTCCTACTTTTTTCCTTTCCATGCCGCCCAGCATAAAATTATGGTGTTGAGGGGGCGTGAGAATGGAGCTCGTAACATTTCGTAACTAAGGGTGCCGGCATTACGTGCACCGAGTCTTATGAAGGCTTCTCGATGGGCATGACAACTTTTCAGAATGAAAAAATCTGCCCGCAAATGACAAGGTTTCTAGGCAGTAGATGGCGATAACAGGCAATTCAGAACCGAAAATAGTCATGAATGTCCATGATGGGGTCTACATGAAGTCCGGTGCTCCAGTCGACAGGTTAACACGAGTTGAGGAAATGTCGCGCCCATGGCCGCGCGCGGCACATAACGACTCTCTTGCTTGTCTCCCCAGCTCACCAGAAGACACTTCCTCTGTACGCCTAGCTATTATCTTCATTTATCGATTAGGAATCCTCGGAGGAATCGAAGGAAAGCACCTCCCCCTCTTAGTCGGTGTGATGAGTGGCGTATTTTGAGGAACGATGTAATATGTGACTGGAGATTATTATAAAAGAAACGAATTTTCCAGCACTCCACGCCACCTAAAGTGAGGAAAAAAAATCGATGAAATGGGCTTGTAATAAAAACTTATCGTGACTTGACAAGTTTGTACCACAATGGTACATGTCGATAAGTCGGACGTGCGCCAGTGCTGCGCGTACGACACTTCACTCGCTTTGCCAGCGACGTGTCAGGACATGTCAGACAAACCGCTTCCATGAGGGAAAAAAGAGAAAAACTGTCTCGTTAAAATTACTGCTTCTTGCCAAGTGATCGATAGCACATGGTCTAGAGAAGACGAACAAGACAATCGTACTCCACTGTTCCGTCGCGCGCGGCGCCACCAGTTTGTATACTCGAAATCCCTGAGATCGGGTAGGTGTGGCCGCATCCTCGAATTTAACCTGAAGG